GCTACTTCTCCTGGTGTGCATATGTGCCGTTTGTTTTGGATCCATTTTTTGAAATGATCCTCACGCATTTCTTCCATTGCACAGTGGCATATAGTTCCGTCAGGACGCTTTACTAGTTCATTGCATTTAACATAATATTTTCCGTACTTGTCGCCTGGTTTTTTATATCTAAGATACTGATGCTTAGTACCGACCTCAATGTCTTTATAGTACGTCGGTACTGCATCAATCATTGTTGAAATAATGAAGTGATTACTTAAGCATTTTTATTCTCAATTTGTTTTGAATAAATTCAATTTTTTAATGCATAATTTTTAAAAATTCTCTAATATACCTTAGATATAGATACATTTATTATCAATTCAAAAATTTCAATATAGTTTTGGGATGAGGGGGGCACAAACTTGCCCAGTGAGGTGAAGTGAAAAGTGACAAGTTTACATGTCAGAAATGTAAAGTGTCATATTTGAAACAAAAATGGATTAATTTATTATTATATGATAGAGAGATTTGGTAAGTTACTATCAAATTTGTAAGTAAGGGAAAAAAAGTAAGAAAGAAAAAAATTTTTAAAAAATAAAAAGCCACTCGCTTCGCTCGCGGTTGACAAAAAGAACAAATTCGAAAAATAATTGTATGAAATTACGAAACTAAGCCACTCGCTTCGCTCGCGGCTTAAGAAAAGAACAGATTCGAAAAAAGATTGTATGAAATTACGAAACTAAGCCCCTCGCTTCGCTCGCGGCTTAAGAAAAGAACATATTTCAGATTATCGATACTAAGAATTTTTTTATTTTATTACATTTTTTAAAGCTTCTTAACTTAAATCATGGAATGTCTCAAAGACAAAAGTAGCATACAGCATGTAAAGCTAAAGAAAGATAATCATAATTAATACCTTAATTTTTAATATTACGCATTTTTAGGTGCAAAATTTAAAAACATTCTAATACAATAGAGCAGTTTCCAAAAGTAGCATACAGCATGTAAAGCTAAAGAAAGATAATCATAATTAATACTTTTAAAGTTTAAAATCTTGATTTTTTTTTAAAATCAAATATTTATAACTTTAATACATACAGCTTAAACCTTATACTTGTTTTCTCTTGTGAGAAAGCAATCTTACAAAGCTAACAATCCTAAAAAATAAAGAATTTAAATTTAATAATTTAATCTAAAATTAAAATCAAAATTAAATAAAATGAGTTCTTTGTAATAATACTTTCAAGGTAGGATATATTTTAGTGGGATCTATTGAGTCATCACTAACAGCATTGAGCAATCTATTGAGCATTGAAATACTCTCGATTTTTCTTTGTCTTTTTACATCAATTTCTGCGTTAGTTGCTTTTTCCATGATCCTAATGACACGGTCATCTGCTGGATTTTGATCAATTTTGAGTTTGATAACGAAAGATGGTATCACTTTTGTATAAATTTCTATAATAACATCATCAATTCTGAGATTTTTTCGATCAGGAAAATAGTCATGTTTGAGTGTTCTAAAATGAGCTTCGGCAATATTGTTAGTTGCGTCGCCTTCACGCCTGTCACGAGCAATCCATCTTGATATGTTGTAACGCCATTGTCTGTTAAAGTATTGAGATGCTGTTGGATCTGTGTCGAGCAACTCCAGAACTTGATCATAGGCAGCATTTGCTTCTTCCTCATGTTCTGCATCTAATTTGAAGACTAAATCCTTCATCAAATTATAGAATTGTTCAAATTTTTCTTGAGAAGAAAACTTATTTGATTTGCGAAGAATTGCACGAAGAACATGTACTCCGCACCAAAGTATTTGAGCTTGTGGAATGCTTTCTTCTATTGCTTGAGCTATCTGTGGAGCACAGTCCATGCTAATGTATTCTGGCTCAATTGTTACCCATCTGAGATAGGCGCACACGCAAACTTGAATGTTTTGATAAGTGTCTGGTTGACAAAAGAAATATAAAAAAGGGAAAATGTGAAAATCTTTGATTTTGCCAGTAAATGCATACAATGGAATGTTTGATCGCAACAATTTATAGGTGCTGTCTATATGAAATGTCTTGATACTATGCGCATAAGCTTTGCCTTCAAAAGGCGCGTAATAGAAACACATATTATTGTCTGAGACTTCAAATGCAATGAGATCATCTGGAGATTCTTCTTGTACTGTCTGAACAAAGATTTGCAATGACACAACATCGTCAGGAGAATATCTAGTTTGAAGAGCATGTATTCTCTCTGCAAATCGTTTGATTGCACGTGGTTTTTGAGCGTACATCTCTGGAATGGACGGACCTGTAAGAGGAATTTCAAGATCTTTGAATGCATTTAGCTGTGCTATCGCTCTTTGATTGTCATCTGTTTGGAAGTAATGTTCTAAATATTTGCGATAAAAGACAGACGAATATTGACTTTTGTCATTTGGGGCGGAATGATCATGTTCTTCAACTATTTTGATTAGTTTGTATTTATTTTGATCCAAGATTGCAACATTAAAATGTGCAGGACATTTTGGATATTTGCAGTGGAATGAAATCTGAGATCTTTCTTTCCTGACACGTTCACCATATCCATACTGTGCTTGTATTTCTTGTTTAACTCCAAATTTACAAAGATCCATAACAGTAAAGATAGTTTCTTCTTCTAATTCCATTTGAAATTGAAATGAAAATTAAAAATTCAGAAATTTGAATAGATTTGGTCTGTAATTTAAATGAGAATAGCAGTTTGTTCGTCATTGTTTGAGGCAAGAGTATTATAGGAATATTATATGATGGATTTGAGTTGCATATAAAGAGTGCAAAAGGATAAAGAGAGAAATTTTGTTAGATTAAATTATTAAATTTTAATTCTTTATTTTTTAGGATTGTTAGCTTTGTAAGATTGCTTTCTCACAAGAGAAAACAAGTATAAGGTTTAAGCTGTATGTATTAAAGTTATAAATATTTGATTTAAAAAAAATCAAGATTTTAAACTTTAAAGGTATTAATTATGATTATCTTTCTTTAGCTTTACATGCTGTATGCTACTTTTGGAAACTGCTCTATTGTATTAGAATGTTTTTAAATTTTGCACCTAAAAATGCGTAATATTAAAAATTAAGGTATTAATTATGATTATCTTTCTTTAGCTTTACATGCTGTATGCTACTTTTGGAAACTGCTCTATTGTATTAGAATGTTTTTAAATTTTGCACCTAAAAATGCGTAATATTAAAAATTAAGGTATTAATTATGATTATCTTTCTTTAGCTTTACATGCTGTATGCTACTTTTGGAAACTGCTCTATTGTATTAGAATGTTTTTAAATTTTGCACCTAAAAATGCGTAATATTAAAAATTAAGGTATTAATTATGATTATCTTTCTTTAGCTTTACATGCTGTATGCTACTTTTGGAAACTGCTCTATTGTATTAGAATGTTTTTAAATTTTGCACCTAAAAATGCGTAATATTAAAAATTAAGGTATTAATTATGATTATCTTTCTTTAGCTTTACATGCTGTATGCTACTTTTGTCTTTGAGACATTCCATGATTTAAGTTAAGAAGCTTTAAAAAAAATGCAAAAAAATTGAATACTTTACTGGCTGGGCAAATTTGTCGCCGCCCCGTTTTGGGATGGGTAGCCCATCCCATATATTCAAATGTTCAATGATTTTGGGTTGGGATTCAAAAAAAAGGTAGTGGGGCTTCGAGGCGCGTTGCGCCCTCTAGCCCCGAAGATGTTTAGTATAAATGAAGTTTATATTCGGAGGGCTTCCAGGCGCGTTGCGCCCTCTAGCCCCGAAGATGTTTAGTATAAATGAAGTTTATATTCGGAGGGCTTCCAGGCGCGTTGCGCCCTCTAGCCTCGAAGATGTTTAGTATAAATGAAGTTTATATTCGGAGGGCTTCCAGGCGCGTTGCGCCCTCTAGCCCCGAAGATGTTTAGTATAAATGAAGTTTATATTCGGAGGGATTCCAGGCGCGTTGCGCCCTCTAGCCTCGAAGATGTTTTGTATAAATGAAGTTTATATTCGGAGGGCTTCCAGGCGCGTTGCGCCCTCTAGCCTCGAAGATGTTTAGTATAAATGAAGTTTATATTCGGAGGGCTTCCAGGCGCGTTGCGCCCTCTAGCCTCGAAGATGTTTTGTATAAATGAAGTTTATATTCGGAGGGCTTCCAGGCGCGTTGCGCCCTCTAGCCCCGAAGATGTTTAGTATAAATGAAGTTTATATTCGGAGGGCTTCCAGGCGCGTTGCGCCCTCTAACCCATAAAAAATTTCTGAGGACGAGCCAGCCGGTGACTTTTTTGTAGAGCACTCAAACTAGTATAACTTTGTCCGGACAAGTAAGGGCCTATCCTCGCTACAAGAAAAGTTACAGGCGTTCCAAGGAAGTATACTTTGAGAAGCCTTTTCTCCCTTTTAAAACAAGATAGGACGGTTATTTTACAAAACTGACAACACTTTGACCGAGTAGTTTTTTGTGCTGAACAAAAAGTGTCATATAAACATCTGTCAAAAACCGCTTTTAACTTCACTTAAAATGCCACGTAAGCTACGTAAGAATATACGTAAGAGGAAGGGAGCATTGAAACATCCAATAGTAAAACTGACACCACAACAACAGTTGCAACAACAAATGATGAATGACCCCACTATGTTGCAACAAATGTCAAGCAACCCTATGCTTTTAAACCGAGTTATTGGTGCACAGAGTGGAGGTTTAAGAGCGGCACTTTTAGCGAAAATGGCAGGCTATGGTGGAGCTGCAGACGGAACAGCTTATAACCCTCAAAGTCAAATGAATTTGAGTTCACTCAAAAATCAAATAACAGATGTCAAAAAGTCAAACATAGACATACAGAAACAAATAAGTGAAAACGAAAAGAAACTAGAATATGACAGACACACAAAGAAACTCAATGAGTTAAACGTAGAGAAAAAGAAGAAAGAAGAACAACTGAAAGAACTAAGTACAGAGGAATATGCGAAAAAAGTGTCAGAAAAAGCAGCAGAAGTAGCAAAAATGGAACAAGATGTTGTAAATTTGAAAAACCATACTACTCGATATAAAGTACTGAAAGATGAAGAAATAAAACAAAAAGCCCTGAAGACATATATGGATAGCGATGAGTATAAAAAAGAAGTTGAAGCAAATGTAAAGGCAGAAAAACTTTTACAGTTGCAAAACCAAACCGTACAGTATGAAAACTTAGCACAAGAAAGTAAAAATAACGACGCAGCCATGCAAAAGGCAATGAAAAGCGCAGAATATATAAAAGCTAACAATGACTGGTTAGATGCCCAAGCCAACGCTAAAGCAGCCCAACTTATAGGGTCAATAAGGACAAAAATACAAGCGGATGAAGACAGTTCAAATGAAGCTTTAATGAATGCTGACTTTAAGAATGCCTTCGAAGCTCTTCATAGTAAGGTGAAACTAGTGAACGACTTCTCATCTGGAAAGAAACTGAAGTCTGAAGGTTTCGACAAAGAGTTAAGAGAAGTAGCACAAAATATGACGAAAATAACAGATGCAGCAACGAGACAGGCAGTTCAAAGTGCCTATGACGCCGTTAGAGCAACTGTTGTAGAAAGTCAAGAAAAAGAGTTACAACAGACCAAAACAGACCTAGTAAATGCTTTCTTAAAAACGAAAAGTCAGGTAGGACATTATGCTGCAGATGGAACATATGTGCCAGCTGGTGGAACTTATATACCACCAAACCCTCCAAGAGAAGCACCTGCACCAGGACTACCTAAAACATTTACATCGTCACATGGACACAGACACAGGCATGCACCAAAACCAACACAGCAACCAACAGTTCAAAATCCAGCACCACAACAACAACCAAAACCAACAGTTCAAAATCCAGCACAGCAACCAACAGTTCAAAACCCTGCACAGCAACCAACAGTTCAAAATCCAGCACCACAACCAAAACCAGCACAACAACCACCTCCACAACCAGCACAGCAACCAACAGTTCAAAACCCTGCACAACAACAACCACAAACAGAGCAAGGACATAAAAGAAGTAGAGAAAAAGGAAACCAAGAATTCTTAAAAATGCTTAAGGAAGATTATGGTTACCCAGATACTCTTGACTTTAGTGACAGATATAAAGAAGCTATTAGAAAGTTCAAGGAAGGAAATACTGACCCGAACCTATTTAGCTTTATGGTTCAGCATCAAATGGGATATAATCTCAAACCTGGAAAATACAAGCTCGCTAAGGGATATGATTTAATAGCATATCATCCAAATGACATGAATGAATTTACTCCGAGATATTTGGTGTCAGAGCTAAATGATAATTCAACTCTCTTCATGAAACGCGTAAAAAATAGAGACGGAACGAAAGAAGAAAGGTTTATGAGTCCGGATGACTTAGATAGGGAACTTGTTAAAAACGGTCTCGGAATATATGAAATGCCAGCAGATGAGGTACAAGAAACTCAACAGGAAGAAGTTCAGATACAACCAGACATGGAAAAATAGTTCAGCAACAACAGCTAGAAGAGCCTGAAGGAAACGAACAAGTCCCTCCTTTGGAAACTAACTTCACAGAACTAGATGAAGATTTGGAACAGCCGAAAAATCTTGACCCTCAACAAGTGTATGCAGAGAATATGGAATCTTTCCAAGAGTCTAAGAAAAATTCGGCTGACATAGTAGAAGAATATCGAAAAATGTTCACCGACATACAAAAGACTCCAACATCAGATGAAAATATTCAGCATAGAATGGAAGTACTGAAAGATAATGTACGCAAATACAATAATCCTTTTTACTTACGACCATATAACGTTCAATCTTTGGCTGAACTCGGTGAAAATAAAAGGTTAAATTTCAACAAAACATATAGAAATGAAACATTGTTTAAAGTTCATTCAGAACCTAACCAATATGGAAACAAACCTACTTTTGTTTCTGCAGACTATGGAACTACAATGAGATGGGGTCATAAAGCTAATCCGGATAGGTGGTTCATAAACTTACAACCTCAATTCCAAGAAGTTGTAGACGCAATGGAAGTGAATGGTGAACCAGATATAACGGTATTTTCAGCGCGGCTTTAATGCCATTGAAAGATATGAAAGATGCAGATATTTTGGACCAGTATGAAATGAACATGGCTGAGGGAAATATAACACCTGACGTTCTAGAACATTTATCTCAAAGAACTACACAGAACCATAGAGATGGTATATTTGGTGAAGAGTTTAGAAAGAAAGTTAGGGAGAGAGAAGGAAGAGAACCTATTGTACATGACCTTGCAAACGAAAGTTTGCAAAATGTCATAAAAACTTACTTTGCAGACAATGAAATGAGAAGGATGAATATTTAAGAAAACTCAAATGGACAGTACCAAATGAAATGTTAGTATTGAAAAACATGTTCCATGACAAAATAAAACCAACTACAGAAATAAATGACGCAAGACTGAAACATTGGGTAAAAGCTTTCCCATTCACAAAAGATATTATTGGTAACATGGAAAGAAAACCAGAATGGCTACAAAAACATATATTTGGAAACGAGCTTATTCCATATGGACAAGCTCTGTTTGAAGAGCTTGAACCGGAAACTCAGGAAAGAGTCATGCAAACAATACGCGAAGACTCAAATACAAACTATGACAAAATCTTTCTAGGATATAGGTTACCTGAGATGGGCGACCAGAGCCCAAAGGCAAAAAGGACATGGAAAATTTACAACATACTAGGTGAACATGAGGCAAAGATGCAACAACTTGAAGCAGAGGGCAAGTTACCAAAAGCGACACCAAAGAAGAAGAGTAGAACAAAGTGAAAGTAGTGAAGAAGTAACTTCATCTAGTGAAAGTAGTGGCAATGAAGGAAAAAGAAGAGTTAAAAACTCAGTCAGGAAGAAAGTAAAGCTTGGTACGAAACAATTATGACAAATAAATTCAACTATTCTATATTTTACCCATATGAAATGTACGCCGCTCAGAATATAACGCCAACAGTTTTGGATGCCATGAACGGAAATGTTTCCGAATGGTATAACGAATGCGACAATGCCATTAGAAGGTCAGAAATAGTTCCTGGAACTTACGAATATACAACTGCTGTTTCTTATGGAAACGTAGGTGAGTTTGGAGAAGGTTCTTCAACAACAGTAGATATTGCTTGCGACAGGTTTCATATTATTTCTATTGACAACTCATTCTTATACGTGGAACAAGACATTGAAATAAAACCTTCTGCCAAGTTGTCTGACAAGAAAGGTTGCAATGGAATTTTCTATGTCGGATACCAATATGCTCCAGAAGTTTTTATGGGATATAAGATATATTCTAACTCTGACTTAGTTCAAACAGTAACATGGGCAAACTATGAATGGTTCGCTTTGAGAAACTCAGTACAACCACAAGCTAGAGAACAAACAGACCAGTATGCAACTATTGAGAAAATAAGAAGACTTGACCCTAACGTTCCAGGAGTTTATGTTAACCTTTCTGGACAAACTGCAGCAGCAGTAACCAAAGTAAAACTGAAACTAAGAGTTCCTTTGTCATCTTTCCTCATCTTCAGGTTTTTAAGATACTTGCCAAACTGGGCAGGAAAAATTTCTATTGAACTTACTCCAAGCAAAAATAACTTAGTCATTGCACCAACACAAGACCCATTCACTATTACAGACGTAAAGGGAACAAATCAAACGTCATTCGCCGAATTTTGCAAAGACAAAGTTGACTTAGACTTTGGTTTCTCAAACTTCAACACTGAAGTAAACTATTATTTCAATGCTGCTGGAGATGCTTGGGACCCAGTTAAGTTCACATGCGAAAAGTTTGAATGCAAGAGAATAGAAAGCAGACTTGCAGTCTATATGTTGGACCCAGATATTTCAAATGCTTTAGCTGCCAAATATATTGCAGTTCCACTTATGTTCCCTATACACCAAATATCTGTCAAAGACTTTGCAGGTGAAGTTGGAAAACAAAATCCAGGAGCCGCAGGTGCAAGAACAGATATTGCTTTAACAACTGCAATGAAACATGCAGATACTATGTTTGTACTGTTCAGACGAACTATAAATGACTATTCTTGTTTCTACAACCCTGGTATTAAATATCATATAAACATAGATGGCAAATATTATCCAAGAGAAGAATATTCTACAGTTGAGGATATGAGGTCATACAACTTGACATTAGATGCTATGAACTTTAACAACAACTTCACAACAACCATTAACCCTGAAATGCAAAATTCTATTATGCCATATGTGAAAGTATAGACTCATACAGGAGGTCAAAAAACTCAATATACAAATGGAGACCGTTCAAACTTTTGGCTTGGCATTCCATTTGCTGACTCAGAAGACTTTATGGGTGGTATTTCAACTGTTGGTACAGTTCAAATACAATATACTGATGACAGAGACGGTCCAGATGAATTGAGAGCAAAGAAGTTTACAAAACCAATAGCACTTTTCACGGAAGATGCTCTTTTGAAGATTCGTTCGATGAAACCTGCTGGGGCTCCTCAGATTGGCATAACGACAGCTTCCATCGAGCAGATTTTGGCAGCAGGTCAGTAAGTTGTTCTTGAACTGACTTCTCTCCGTTAAAATATTGACGTACCAGTTTTGACATAATATTGTATTATAAACTTTCCTTTAGAAATATCTGTAAGTTTTGAAGTTATATTTTTGTCTGCTTCAAGAACTTTCACCATTTCAGTTATACCAACTTTCTTTGCTTTATGAAAATATTTAGGTTCAGCAAAGACTGCTATTCTATAACATTTCATTGTTTGTGTAAAGAACTATTCTGTCAATGTATTTGTATTGTTTGTGAGTATAAACTTTGTTCTGCTTCAATTCAATAAGATATCCGAATACGTCCATCTTTTTATTCTAAGTAAAATGTCATTTCCGAAAAATAGAAGCGTAAGTGTTCAAAGGTTTAATGGCGGTGGCAAATGTGAAGTTAAATTCACCAACTCAAACAAAACAGTCAAAGTTTATTGTCAATGTCAAAGACAGAGATGTTGAAGTGGGGAAACCATACGAAGACGAAGATGGTATAACAATTGTTCCTGTAAAAGAACCAACATATCCTGAAGTTAACAGAGACTTAAGTTCTGTTGCAGATATTCGAAACGACTACCAACAACTGAAAGACAAACTTCAAACTCAGGAGAAGATTTGTCAAGCTTTAAGTATAATGTTAAACTTGGTCGAACACAACCCTGTAAAGTGAACTCATATGTCATGCACCTCATGAAGTTTTGAAAAGAACTATTGAAACTTTTGACAGAGAGCAACGATATAAACATCAAAGAAATAGAACCCGACATTAGTTGCTGTGGTGTTTCATATAATGCCATTGACAAGATATACGTTATGAAAGGAGGTGAAACGTTGAACTTAAATATAGTTTCCCAGACGTTATAAAAATATTTGACGACCACAACATTTCATTAAAGTTTATTTGCTAAGTAAATGGCAGAAGACATAATGGTTTATACTATTACGACTAAAAACCCTGAGTCATATAATTCTATAACAACAAACTTACAAAGTCCTCAAGGACGATATTGTAAACTAACCTTAAACACAATGACGACTAAAGCCTGTTTTGCTCTTTTGACACCAGAAGACTTTGTTGTTGTGAATGGTAAAAAATACTCCTTTGAAGATACTTACTCAGATATACCACAACAGGTTTTGTTGACTTATTTAATACTTTAAGTACGGGTGTAACATGTGCTGCAACTAGAGCAGGTTTCATTATGTTTGGATGTCCGACTGAGTTTACTATAAACGATATGAGCTATAATACAAAACTTATTTCTGTGTTTTTACTACCAACAGTTTCCTATAACAGGAAAAGGTGTCATACAAGGAATGTCTATTCCATTGACATTAAGCACACCAATCTTATATATTGTTTCAAACTTAGGTTCAAAGTGTTATTCGAATGTCGACAGAAACTATTATGACCAAAAGATACTTATGCGTATACAATACTTTCTCTGCTGGTTTGCCTATTGTTTCATTCGAATGCAGAATTTTCAACCTTAGTGAACTCAAACACTTTTGGCAGTATAACGTTGACATTAGTTGACGCAAACTTTGTTCCTGTAAAACTTTTATGTCCTATGTATTTGTCAATGACGGCAGAAAGTTTCGAATTGGAAGATGAAGCAACTGGTGAAAGTATTGTATTACAAGAACAACTTCAACAACAAATAGCTCAAGAACAACAAATGCAACAAATGGAACAACAAAGTCAAGAATAAAAAAATAATATTTTTTATTTTTTATAAAAATGTACAGAATAGATGTTTCAGATTTTTATGACTTCCAAGCATTCAGAAATATGTGTCCATTTAGAGACTATAACAAAGCAGTCGAGAATTTGAAACGTTTAGTCATTTATGTTGACTCTGCCCCAGAATGTTATGTCATGAAAAGAATGGGATGTTGTCTTTAACAAACCAAGAGCAACAATAGTGTCTGAACAGAATGTAGACAGAAACTTAAGAAAATAAAAAGTTGTACAAGTTGGAATGAAGATGTTAGATGCTTGGGATATCTTATTGTCAAGTTAGAAGATTTTTCAGTTCGAGGTATAAAGTTCTATACACCTTCTCCAAACTTCTATTCTATCTTCACTGGATATAAATATGAACAAGTAGAATGAAACACAGTATTATAGAAGCTTGGTTAGACCATGTCAAAGAAATTATATGCAATGGAAACGAAAAGGTTTATGAGTATATCTTATGTTGGTTTGCAAACATCTTACAACATCCAAGTGCTAAAAATGAAACTGCTCTCATTTAATTGGGAAAACAAGGAACAGGTAAGAACACATTCTTTAGAGATATCTTATGCAAACTGTTAGAAGGTTAATTCGAACCCTAATATGACAAACTTAGAAAACATCTGTGGCAAGTTTAACTCCTCAATAGAGAATATGAAACTTATAGTTTGCAATGAACTTCAAAGTATAGATACAACAAAAGTTTTGAACTCAGATGCTTTGAAGAGTCTTATAACAGACAAAGTTGGAGTTGTTGAAAGAAAGTATAAAGACCAAAGAGTTTGTGAAAATGTTGCAAACTTCATTATGGTTTCAAACAATGCTGTTCCGATGAAGTTAGAAAGTTCTGACAGAAGATATGTAGTTGTCAGAATGTCAGATTCTCATATGCAAGATACAGAATATTTTGACGACTTAGCAGAAACTTTGACACCAGAGTTTTACAACCATTTGTTCTCATACTTTATGACATTAGATATTTCTAAGTTCAATCCAAGACAAATTCCACATACCGAAGAGAGACAAACATTGTTAGAAGCAAACAAGAGTGTTTATGAACTGTTCGTAGATGAAACTGACTTTGTGTCATTAGATGAAAGGTCATTGTACGATTCGTATAAACAATATTGTCAAGAATATGGTTATATGGCAGCTTCTAAACGTACATTCTTGGCAAATGTCAAAAGTCTTTTAGATGTTCAGAATGGTGTATATACAAAGAAAATTTTTTCTGAGTAAATTTAAAAAAAAAATTTTTTTATCCGATAGAAAAGATGACGAAATATATTTCAGTAAATAAGTACATGTCAGGACTTAAAGAAGAACTAGACCCATTCACATATTTGAATGTTTACTTCTACCATTTTGAAAAGTCTTCATTTGACAAAGTTTGGAACATCGAACCAGTTAAGTTTGCTATTGTGACTAAAAATGGTGCGAAATTTGAAGACTTAGACATAGAAGGTTTGTTAACAGTCAAAGAAAGTTTTGACAGAAGGTTCTCAAACCTTAAAGAAGGCAAAGCATACAAACTTGTTATACCTTATGAACCAAAGAAGACAGACGACTATGAATATTATGAGTCTAAAGTTGTAGAAGTTCAAGGTAAATTGGGTAAAAAGATTTTAGAGTCTAAGCCAGTGTTTACTCCTAAAGAGGAAGAGAACATTGACATTGACCCAGAAATGTTCTAAAAATAAAATTTTATTTTTACATGTCAAATTTCTTTTTCTCTGGAACTGGTTCAGGTTCTTTCTTCTCTTCTTCTACTTTCTTTTCTTTCTTTTCTCTCTTCTTCTTCTCTGGTGGTGAGACGTCAAATTTCTCAGAACCATATTTATGTAAAAGTTCTTTGTCCTTTAATAGCTCATCTATTCTGTTTTCTATTTCATCTTCAAGAACGGCGCATGTGTCTTCTTTGCATTCTAAGAACTTTTGTTGGACTTCATCTTTCCAAGAGGCGTCATCTCTGTCAACAAGTCTGTCATTGACAAATTTTAAGACTGCTCTTTGTAATGTTTTATGGTTCTTGTCATATTCCCAGAAACAGAACTTTAGAACAAATTCACCTTTCTTGTTTACACTATGTAAGATTTTATGGTCGACAGATGTTTTGCTGTCAAAAAGTTTGTCTCGAATATAGATAGCGAAATCGCTAGACATTTTCTAAAAGATAAAAATTTTAATTTTTCTAAAAATATGTTAGAAAAAAAGTTTGCTGACATTGACAAGAAATTTGAGAATGTTTTAAACAAGAACAAGAGGAAGTTAGAAAATGCTCAGATAAAGCCTATACATGACAAGTTCTTATTTGCTCAGAATGGTATAACAGGTCTAATTGCACCACCTGGGTCTGGTAAGACTTTCACTTATCTTAAAATGGCTGCACAACAACAAGAACTAGATGAGAAGAACCCATTCTATGAGTTAGTAGTCATTTGTAGTACTTCTGGTCAATTTGACCAAACCGTCAATTCGTTCAAAGATATTATAAAGAAGTCTAAGTTAGTATGTATAAAGGATACTGAGTTGTTAGATTGGATAAAGAAGTACCAAAGAAGAGTTTTGAAGTATAATGCTATAAATGAGTATATAAATTCTAAGTTCAAAGACCCTAATGAGGAAATGCAGAGAATATTAGAGAAGAAACACTTCCGAAACAAACAGAAAGAGATAGAATACATTTCGAAGAAATTGCAATCGTACGATTGGAAGACTTACCCTCATAGATGTCTTCTTATTTTAGATGATTTCGCCTCTCATCCTTTGTTAAAGAACAGAGAACAAGATATGTGTCGAATTCTTAAGAAGCTCAGACACTTTAACATCTCTGTTGTCATTTGTGTACAGACAGCAAAGAGTTTAAGTAAGGATGTTAAAAGAATACTTACTGACATAATACTTTTCCCCGGATTGTCCGAAGACGATTTCATGGAACTTATGAAAGAGTCCATGGCAGGCAAGTTTGACAGACATGAACTATGGGAGAAGTATAAAGTCATACAAGACCCTCACACTTCTTTCAGAATTCATATCTACGCGAACAAAGTTCAAATTGTAAAAAGTCAATAAAAATAAATGGTTCATCTACCCTACTTGTTTGAAGTTGTCAAAATACTCTGTTATTTTTTCTTTCAGTAGCGGTAAGTCTTCTTTGAAGGTAAGTATTGTACAACCTTTCATATCATAGTGTGTTTGAGGTAACGTATCTTGAACTATTTGTTTCACATCTTCATTTGGGGTCATTGAAATCGGTAAGTTTTCGCGATAGAACCAATTTCTGTCAGATTTGTAAATCTTAGCAAGGTCGTAAAAGCTTTTGTTGTTTCTTCTGACTAAATGCAACATAACCATATCTTTATCTTCTTCATTTTCCATCTCTTCAGTATAAATCATATACTTATAGTTCTTTTCCTTTCCTTTTGGTACCGAACGTGGTATTCTTTTCTGAATGCTTTTGTCTTTTGCTTCAAGCTTGTTTTCCATCTCTTCACGTTCTTGTCTATGAATTTTGTCAAGAAGTCTGTAAATATACCAAGCATAACGAGGCGAAGCCCACATTGCAACAGCATTTACAAGAAGTCTATGTACATAATATCCTCTCAAACCGTTTGGCAATTTTTCACGATTTTCATAGAGTTTTGGCGACTGGGGTTTTTTACCTACTCGCTGTTCTTCACTGTTTTCAGAAAAAAGTATGTCTCGCTGTGCTTCGCTCAAAAGTTCTTGTGTGCTTTGGTTCCTAAACCAGTCTTTAGGAAGCTTAGTATCTGGAGCATAACATGCTGTCAAAATACTTTGCATTTGGTACATATCATCTTTGACCGAACGAATGAGACGGAGTTGTTTGTTAAACTGAACCCACTCATATTCTTCATTTATAGCTTCATGGACTATAACTGTTGTTGTGTTCTCTGTTGTTGACATATCTGTCTTTACATACAAAATAAAAAAATAAATAAAAATAAAACTAACTTTATTTTTTCTATCTTAAGGAAATTCATGATTTTTGTGCTGAATTCAATAAAAATATATTTTAGGGTAGATGGTTAGATCTAACCCGATATCTACCCCCATTTCTACCCCAGTTATTTTATAAACGTTTCACATGGTAAACGTTATTTTTTAAATTTTGTGAAAACTCAACGGTTTGACACATGCCCTAAAAATTATTTTACTCAGAATTTTGTTGCTGAATTCAATAAAAATATATTTTAGGGTAGATGGTTAGATCTAACCCGATATCTACCCCCATTTCTACCCCAGTTATTTTATAAACGTTTCACATGGTAAACGTTATGAATTCGTGAGACTCTAAACAGTTTTGTAGCTTCTATTTCTTCTTTTAGTACATCGAATGTTTTAACAATGCCGAAAGTTTCTTTATACTTCTTCTTGACGTCAGACAGAAGGAAATCGTCAGCAGTTGGATAGTTTTTGTTCAGAAATTCTAACATGTCCATTTTATTTTCTGCTGGTTTCTCTGCTTCTTTCTTTAAGTCAGCATAGTCGTTTCTCATTTGTTCTATCTCTTTGACGGAGTAGTTATATTTCCTAATTGCTGCTTTACATTTAGAACATTGCGGGTTCATTTTTGCGTTATACATTGAAATAAAACCAGCTAAAACAACCAAGGCGTCAATGGTTTTCTTTAAATCTGAAGCAATTGGTTTTATCTGTTCATTCCATACCTTACCTCTTCTATCTTTATCTCTTATCTGCCATACACATTTTGCAGCTAATGAAACAAAGTTGTCGTATGTCTTAAACTCCCCAGATTTATATATGTCAGAGATGTTCTTATATAACATGTCGCAATCTTTGTCCATAACTTTATGGTTGCAATGAAAACCAAGGAATTCATAATTTACCTTTCGTATGAACTTCTTTATTTCTACTGAGTCAGTTGCTTTGACTTCAATTTCGGCGAATTCAGGAATAGTTAGTTTTTGCTGCTGAATTTCAGGTAGTTTAGGCAAATGGTCAATAATGTCCTCCATTTCATAAAGATACTGTTCATTTGTTTCATCTTTCGCACTACAGTCTAAATTACTTGTTAAAAGTTCCTGCTTTATTCTTTGTATTTCTGTTTCGAAAGTATATGAAGAAGGAATGAAGCTTTTCATTTCTACTAACATAGATGTTGGATTCATGACTAACGAGTTTGGTGCTGTTGTTTGAATTGTTGTTGTGCCGATTGTTGACATTTCTGTTCTTTTATACAAAATAAAAAAATAAATAAAAATAAAACTAACTTTATTTTTTCTATCCTAAGGAAATTCATGAAAATTCAAGAGGGTAGAAATGAGGGTAGATATCGGGTTAGATCTAACCATCTACCCCAAACATTATTTTTGCTGAATTCAGCAACAAAATGAACGAGGTCAGGATGTATGTAAATACCTTTGAATTCATTCATAACGCCCTTAGTAAGCTCATAAAATGCTTGTTTTGAGGTCGAGCCACTTTTGGCTCCACCGTATTCTTTCAACCAAAACTCAAGAATTTCCTGCATGAATTTTGTATAAAAAGCAACAGTCCGAATTCCGGCGGTTGCTATATTCTTCACAAAATGCCTTATAATACTCTTCCCAGGACTTATTTTCCAACAACTTTCTAAAGTCTTTCCTAAACTGACTGACTGACTGACTGACTGACAGCACAAAGTGGCTTAACGAAAACATTAATATATAAAATTCATGAAAATTCAAGAGGGTAGAAATCGGGTTAGAAATGAGGTGAAATCTCACCTCTTCATCTAAATTATATTTTTTGGTCCGGGAACAACTTTCTCTCAATTGGAGCTGTAGCATACTCTTTGCGTAAGCGGTTCAGACCTTCTTCGAAGTCTTGGTCTCTCTTGGACTGAGATTGGAATTGTGGGGCAGGGTTTTGCATAAACATCCAAGGGTTGGGGCAGTAAGGCATAGGCTGAGGAGGGTAGTTCGGGAAGCCTTGTGGTGGGTAGTAACCTTGAGGTGGAAATTGGTAGTAATTCGGAGGTACTTGCTGGAACTGAGGTTGCTGAGGAGACTGTTGTGGTTCTGCAGCTTTCGGTTTTTCTGGCTTTGGAAGGCATTCAGGAAGAGGAACGTCAGTCATCCGTTTGTGTCCTGTCGGAAGGAAAAATTTTTCCTGTCGGAAGGAAAAACTTTTCCTGTCGGAAGGAAAAACTTTTTCTGTCGGAAGGAAAAGTTTTTCTGAAGTTCGACCAAAAAGTTCTCAATTTTCGAAAATTTGAATGGTTTACGGACGGACAACTGGAAGAGTTCTTCCTGTCGGAAGGAAAAATTTTCCCTTTGTCCGGAAAATTTTTTCCTGTCGGATGGAAGAGTTCTTCCTGTCGGAAGGAAAAAATTTTCCCTTTGTCGGGAAAATATTTTCCTGTCGGATGGAAGAACTTGGAATGCAAGAAAGACTTGACGAGGCAATTTACCTCATTGAACTTAACGACTGCGTAAAAGACTACTTGCGCAAGGTCATGAAGCCCAAGGTCAAGTTTACCACTATTTCTGGAAGGTCTACACTTCAGCTCGAGACTTCGACTGGAATTCCAATTCAAATACCAGACGGGACAGCCTACGATGGCATAAAGGACGCCAAAAGAGAAGCTCTTGTTAAGTTCCTAAACAAACGTCCTTGGATAAAAATACCAAACAAGGAGAACCCCCTACCCCATATGAAATTGGCAATTCAGTCTCTCCTTCACTTCTCTGGTCAACCATTCTTTATAACTACAGAAGGCGACATCCAACCAGTTCAGTAAACATCTCATTTTAACTTCACTTTTTTATGTTTTTTGTGAAAGTGTCAAAAATAAATTGTTTTCATGAGTTTTCTACGATGTTAGAAAAAATGTTATTTTCTAATATCTTCATATTCAATACTTTTTCAGCACTTTTCTGTTGTAAGACGAGTTACGGAAAGTGAGGTGAACCGAAAAAGTGACACTTATTTGGTCGAATAAATTCCCTATATATTTACTTGTCAAAAAAAATCAGACTTTTTTTGCTTTAAAAAAAAAAATTAGAGAACGAATGAAAGGAAATGGATACTCTTACCTTTCATTCCCTCGAGAAAGTTCAAAAACTTGGGTGCAATCAGAACTGATTGCACCCAAGTTTTTGAACTTTGTATAAGGAATTGTTGGCTATGATGTACTGATCATGAATCAGTACATTCATAGCCAACAATTCCTTCGCAAACAGCGGGAAACTTTGTCTGAATAGTTTAACATTCAGACAAAGTTTCCCGCTGTCAGAGAGGAATGGAAGGGTAAAAGGTATATATTCATAATGTATACCTCTTACCCTTTCATTCCTCGAGAAAGTTCAAAAACTTGGGTGCAATCAGAACTGATTGCACCCAAGTTTTTGAACTTTGTATAAGGAATTGTTGGCTTGATGCACTGATCATGAATCAGTACATCATAGCCAACAATTCCTTCGCAAACAGCGGGAAACTTTGTCTGAATAGTTTAACATTCAGACAAAGTTTCCCGCTGTCAGAGAGGAAAAGGGTAAAAGGTATATATTCATAATGTATACCTCTTACCCTTTCATTCCCTCGAGAAAGTTCAAAAACTTGGGTGCAATCAGTTCTGATTGCACCAAGTTTTTGAACTTTGTATAAGGAATTGTTGGCTATGATGTACTGATCATGAATCAGTACATCATAGCCAACAATTCCTTCGCAAACAGCGGGAAACTTTGTCTGAATAGTTTAACATTCAGACAAAGTTTCCGCTGTCAGAGAGGAATGGAAGGTAAGAGGTATATATTCATAATGTATACCTCTTACCCTTTCATTCCCTCGAGAAAGTTCAAAAACTTGGGTGCAATCAGAACTGATTGCACCCAAGTTTTTGAACTTTGTATAAGGAATTGTTGGCTATGATGCACTGATCATGAATCAGTACATCATAGCCAACAATTCCTTCGCAAACAGCGGGAAACTTTGTCTGAATAGTTTAACATTTTGGAGAACGTTTCGACGTTAATACCGCTTTGAATAGTTTAACATTTTGGAGAATTATACAAAGTTCAAAAACTTTGTCTGAAGAATTCTTCCATCTGTTAAAGGGACATTTTGGAGAACGGTTTCGACGTTAATACCGCTTTGAATTTGTTTGATTAGCTTGATTTAACCATTCTAAATCAATTAAATCGAAGATTCTACCACTCATTGGAAAATTATAAGTTTTGAAAAAAACCGTAAATCATTATTGAATCTAAAAATATTTATGTACAAAAAGTCGGTATATATTCTATAATTATTTAAAATAATGAAAAAGTTGATTTGTGAATCATTGAAATATTAATGCTGTTATATATATATCAGATGATATAAGATGATTTTTTTAAATAAAAAATAAAATTTAATTTTTTAATTGTTAAAATAAGAATAGTAAGCTTGACAAGTAATTTAAGTTTTTGCTTTGTAAAGTTATTTGGTTGGCAAATGCATTGTGTCACTTTTTGTTTGAGTTCACTTTCCGTAATTTGTCTTATGATATTTCTGTAGTTATATATGAAAGACAATTCGAGATAAAAGTCATAGTACAATGGAATAATATCTTGCACACCATTTGTTGTGAACCAAACTTGAAAGTCAGAGAAACTGTTACTAGGTGGTTCGTAGAATTTAGAAGCAAAGTCATAAAGGTCCTTACCAATACATAGAAAACTATTGTTGCTTGAACTGAAAATTGCATGACACATAACATTTTGAGGGTCAAACACGTTTCTATAAACCATCAAATCTGCTGGTGGAAGTATAAATTTAAATGGACCATCTGGTGGTAATGGTTCGTTCTGGTTTAGTAACCGAAGAAATTGTGCCCAAGAACGTTTGTCTACTTCCCAAAATAAAAACTCTGTATCTCTTGGAGGGTTAATTTCAATCTTTTGAAATGAAACGGTGGAGTTCATCTTGTCATATTCTAGTTTCAGATAGTATGTTCCATTTAGTAAAGAGTTGTATTTTTCTTGAAATTCCCAATAATATTTGTTCATTTGAGTTTGAAAGTCATCTAGAGTTTTCTCAAGACTTTCGTCTGAACGAACTGTAAAGATTCTCATTTCGTCAAATTTGTCTATTAGACCATCAGAACCTTCATACTGCCCATGAAAATATACTGCGAACATAAATGCGTTAGTTCTATTTGAAAACAAAACTCTTCTAAATCCTATTGCCTTTGCATCTGAAGGACTTTGAAGCCAACGAATTGGATAGTCAAACCTGTATGCTCGGGATGAAATTTCTTCATCTGAAATAGTCCTACCAGCATTTGTAAAGATATAGTTTTGATGGTGTGGGGATGGTTTGTTGTTGGGAGAGTGAAGAAATTTGGGTGGTTGCTGAGAGTTTTGATGGTGTGGGGATGGTTTTGTATCTGCTACTTTTGTTCTTTGTTTTTCAACCTGAAGCATTTAATATATGTAAAAATATATTGTTTTAAAATGGTATGCCATTTCATATTTCTCATCTAACAAACAAGTTTCCCAACGGTCTTCTCCAACAAACTCAGCGTACATTTCAAATAAAATTAAAAAAATGTCACTTTTTTAAAATAAATTTTTTACTTCATGCAATGTTTTATTTCTGTGCCGTCTTCAAGTATGCCCCAATATTTCCTTTTCGATATTACATGAACTTCGGAAAATACCTTATCTAGCTTAAAACAGCCCATCTTTTCACCGACCATTCCCATTTCAATGAGTTTGTTGTATCCTTCTTCGTTCGTCATGAGTGCGTCAATGTTCTCATAGTAAACCTTCACTTTGGATTTGACTTCGGAGAAGAATTTGTTGTACTCGTCAAGGACTGCTTTTGCGAACTGAGGGTAAGACCAATGTTCGACAATAGGTTTTAATGTGGTTACTAAGCCACTTTGACCTTGAGTGAATTCGTACTTCAAAACAAAAGGAGAAAACCTTTCAACAAAGTTGTCGACCTTCTCATAGTGTTTACTCTTCATCTTTTGAGGTTTCTTAATGGAATACCCCCATGTCGAATTCATAAGCAATTTGAGTGTCATTGCAAGTTTGGGGTTTGAAGCTTTCCTAATATCATACAGTTGTTGTATGACTTTTCCAACTGTATAGTTCCTTCCCGGAAACTCACCATCTTCGTTTGGAATTCCAGTCGGAATATATTGGACAAACCTCATGTATGAAGCGTTAAGGTCGACATAGTATATTTTTCATCTGAGTCGAACTTGTCGCAACCAATTGGTCCAGTTTGTGGAAATTCAAGTGAGTCTCTTATCTTCTGAAACTTCTCCTGTATCTCATAAACATCGTCGAAGCAACCTGTTCATATAAAACCTTCTGACCTAACTCAGATGCTCTCCAATACAATTTGACGTCAATTGGATGTCTCAATGGAAGTTTGTTTATAGCATCTTGAAGTTCTTGCAACCTCATTGAAGTTCTTCTGGTTCAGGTTGGTATCCGAACATACCAACCCCTTGTGGAACTGTGTACTTCTTTTGTACTAGAACTTTGTCTGGAAAACTTTTGGTCTTGCTAACAATGAAAAGTTTGTTTCGTCTTTTGGTACAAAAGTTTCTGTCAGCTTGTCATCTGGAATTGGTTCCAACAAACCTTTCTCGAAAAGAATGTTTACAGCTCTGACAATGTTGCACTTACTTTTACCAAAGAATGGGTGTGTAAGACTTTCGTTCAACATGAAGTGGTTGTGGACAATTACAATCTTCAACCATGGTAAGTCTTTGTCAAAACATAGTCGTCATGTGAAGAACCTTTAGCTGTAGGTATGTTGACTCGGATATTGACATTTGCCAACGGTGCAATTTTTGCCAATTGACCTCTGAGAATGTACCTTGTCTTCACACATGACTCAAGATACTTCATCTTCTCATCTGTAACAAGACCAGAGTTCCTGAGACATGTAAGAATGCAAGGTTCGTTGACAATTGTTTCAATTGAATTGTAAATTCCATACCTTGTCAAGTCAATGTCAGACTTATTTATGAACGGGAAGTATCCAGCATGTTGTCTGACTGCTTGAGGGTTAGGTTGGTACCATTCGAACTTGACACTTGCAATTCCTTCAATTGCATTCAAAATGTCTGAGTCGGAGTCAACCATTTGTTCTCTCTTTGTAGTCTTGAAAGCGTCAAGAAGTTTTGCGGCTGTTTGTTCATTGCCATGTGCATAGTAAATGTGACCATCAAATCTTTATGGTCAATCTGAGATTGTGTCCTTTCTTATTTCCGTCTTGAATTGCAGCAAGTACTCCCATGAAGCCTTCTTTGTTCTTTCCTTCGTCAAAGTTTACTGTAAAGGTTCGACCAGATGTAATTTGACTTCTAACTTCACGATACTTTCATATGCATATCTTGTTCTTTCCATGGAGCATGTGTGTCTTCACTTTTCCTTTTTTCCTTCTCAAAGGATGCAATTGTTCGTCATGTTTCCAGTAGAATCTGGCAAAGCCGTCGTGTCCTTCAACTTGAGGTTCACTAACATCGAAAGGCATGTCCATAAGACGTTCTTCTTCTAACCTCTCTAGTCTGTTTGATAATTGGCACGTGCTGTTTCCAAATCCATTTCGTAGCGAAGACCAGACAATTTGTCATAGACTTTTATGGGTCTTCCCTTCCTATATTTAAAATTCTTCGAAACTCTCCAACCATATCTTTGTAACTCTGCTTTTATTCTAGCAGACTTTCTATCCATTCTATATGGGGGCATTTTTATAAAAATAAAAAAATGTTTTTTTTTCTTTACTTTACATAACCGCCTGCTGCCATAAGTCTTTGACGCCAACCCATACCAGCTAATGAAGGTTGACTTGGTTTAGTTTGGAAACTAAACTTTGGTTTTGGTTTATCTTCAGTTTTTGGTTTTTCTTCTTCTATCGGTTTTTCGTCACTTTTCGGTTCCTCTGACTTTACTTCACTTGCAGGAACAGTTGTGTCGTCAACATCTTCATAAATATCATATGCCATTTGTTTTTGTTTTCCTTTCAACTTTTTGTGTTTGTTGTAAAGTTTAGAATATTTCGACTCTAAGTCAATGAGATGTTCTTAATGAACTGTTGGTCAGTGAAGTAAACTTTTCCATCTGTTGTCTCGAAAGCTCCTTCAGACTTCAATATTTTATTTGTGAGAGTCTGTTTCTTTTTTGAGATACTAGCCGTTCCATTTCTATGAAAAGTGACTTTATAGTTAGGGTTTGTATTTCCACTCCTGGCACTTTCTATTATTGAATTTTTCTCTTCATCTGTAAGTTCTTTGACAGGTTTTGACAATGGTTCTGAACTTTTTGTTTGTGGTGCAAATCTACCGTTTCAACTTCTTCGGTCATTTCATCTCAGTAAAAAATTTTAGTTTGGTTTGTTTTCAACTGGTTGTTTAGGTTTTTTAAGTCGTCTAAAACTTCCTGAGGTATAGGAAGAACTTTACAAACACGTGGTGTAACTGCTGGAACCGACAAATCCATCTTGAACTCATTTGTCTCAAAGCTGCATTGTTCATTTCATCTCAATAAAAAACTTTACATTCCCCACGTTTGAGGCGGTTGAGGTTGGTTATTGTTTACCCATGTTGTGCATGGTTATATCCTCTGTTAAAGAATCTTTCACCTTGGTCCATATAGTGTCCTGCTTGGTTATAGTAGTCATTTGCTTTGTTATAATAGTTTCCTGCTTGTCTTCCTACATTGTCCATCCATCCTTGAACTTTTCCTCTTGTTTCAGGATTTGGAATAAGATTTGTTGCATCTCGTGCTACATCCCAACCTTTCTGTACAGTTTGTATAATAGGTTGTGCTTTCTCTTTAAGTATACCTAATGTACTTCAAAATCTCCTTCCCAACTCCAAATACACCTCTGGCTAGTGTTCCCACTGCGGGTAAAATCTAGATGCGACTCCTGCTAATGCGCCAAATAAACCCATTTCTTATAGGGTAAAAAATGACGAATCCGAACAAGGACCCCTATGTTTCTAAAGCGACAAAGAAAGCACTCATGATAAAAATCTTTAGTTCAACACCAAATGCTTGGTTTATGGATATCTTGGAAAACATTCCGAGAGTTAGAACAGATGGACCTCCATACTGGTTAATATTTGTTGGTCAAAACACAAGATACTGTGAAGCCATACCATTATGGTCCAAAAATATTTTAGATGTGAAAACTGCTTTGACAATATTCGTTGACAAATACCATCCAACAAAACTGACATCTGACTGTGAAAGTTCTTTCAAATCAGCTGATGTAAAAAACTATCTGCGTTCAAAAAATGTAAACCAATATTTCATTGTCGACCAAAACCATTCTGCTCTTGGTGTCATTGACGGATGTATAAAAATGTTAAGAGACTTAAACCAACCACAAGGTGGTGAAGCAAATGAAATGTCATATGACGACAAATATAGACACTTCTCCATGGCAAAGATGAGACAAGTTTTAAATATTTACAATAACCGTAAACAAAAAGGTTTGGGAAACCACTCCCCGAAGAAATGAAAAACAACCCTGACTTAGAGAAAGACTATATATTTAATAATTTAGTCAAAAGAGACAAACAAGAAAGAATGCCGGGCTTCAAACTTCAGAAAGGTGACAAAGTAAAAATAGAAATACCTAAACGCGACCCATATGAAAATACTATTGACTATGACAACAATGGAACCCGACAGGTACTCACATTCGTGTTCGTAAAAATAGAAGAAAGTATACAAGAGAATATTATGAAGTTTTAGGCAAACATGGCAAAAATGTACACACTGCAAGCAGAAGATAAAACTACTATTGCCAGACCTCGTTTCAAACTTGTCAAAGTTCAAGGTGGTATACTTTCAAAGACAGTTCCTAACAAATATAAGACAACTCCTGACGAATATGCTAAAGAAGTTGAAAATGACGACTAAGCAATTCTATACCATGCGTAAACTGTCATGTAAGGTGGCATGTATTCTTTACTTTGTCCCGTTGTTTGCGTATATCCTGAAACGAAATGTGTATGGTTTCCTTCTCCCTGAGTGTCACTCCAGTAACAATTTATAGCAAACTTAACGTCGTCTTTAACATCATATCCTTTACCTTTTGTCATTCCTGACCAATCCCAATATCTATGCTTATGCCAACCTGCTTGAGATGTACTTAAATCTATGTAATGACTGTGTGCAGGTAAATTTTCACCTGAAATCGTTTTACTTCCACCTGTTTCCTTTGAAGAGTTTGCACAATACAAAAACCTGTCGACTATTTGTTCCCATGCACCAACACCAAACATTACTTGAGGACCTCTCACATCCATAGATGTATAAATAGAACCTACTGGGTTCATTAAATCAAACATATGAGATATTATAGGATTGTCTCTTTTGAACTTAAAATATAGTGCAACTATTTCAGGTTTCTTCTGGTTTGTGTCAGAATATTTTTTATAATATAGGGTGTCCAAAGGTGCGTTTTGCACAGCGCTCTATATGAGACTATTAAAGGAGATATATGCTGATTATAAATATATAATAAAAAATATGAATATATGTATATGATGAGTATGTTGTATTTTGGCGCCATGCCGGGATATAAAATGAATTTTGAGACAAGAGGCGGTTTCGCGGGAAATTTTGGCGGGATTTTTTCATTTTTTTAATGAATCATAAAGAAAACATCCTCGCTCTTGCAAAAAAATGCAAAGACTGTAAAAAAATCTACGAGACATTGGTAAAATGCTTCGGTATGGATGCTCCTAGCTATTCCACTGTAACGTATCATGTTAGAATGTATCACTTCATGAACAAAAAGGCGCCCATCATAAAAATTGACAAAAAATCGCCGGATCAAAGAAAAATCAAAGCAATTCTTCAAGCGCTAGATGAAGACCCAAGAGCATCACTCAGAAGGATAGAGGAGATGACAAAGATACCAAGTACAACAGTCAGTTATTATCTGCACAATTCTTTGAACTACAAACTAGCGTATACACGTTGGGTTCCGCACAACCTTAATTCTGTTCAAAAAAATCTAGAGTCCAATCTTCGAAAGAGCTCCTCTCTATAT